CTGATGTTACGTAGAGCTGCGTTTCCCCATCACATAACGGTTTCCTCTGCATCTCCACACAGCGCAGGCGGCAAGAGTCACCGCGCAAGCGACAGGAAACCCGCATGCCCGCTAAAGGCGCGCAACAGTCGCCCTGTGCTCGCGCCACAGGAGAACTATGGAGAGCGTGAAGGATCAAATGAACCTGACAACAGCCAGAAATGATAGCCTATATGGAGAAAGGGAGAAATCTGGATGGATGGATGGATGGATGGATGGATGGATGGATGGATGGATGGATGGATGGATGGATGGATGGATGGATGGATGGATGGATGGATGGATACTCTGCCTTCTTAACCTACTGTATTTTTTATTTTAAACATTATTTGATGGCCTTTGTGGCAGGGATGGAGATCCATATTTTATGTCACACACAGAGTATACATCTAGATAGATAGATGATAGATAGATAGATGATAGATAGATAGATAGATAGATAGATAGATAGATAGATAGATAGATAGATAGATAGATAGATAGATAGATAGATAGATAGATAGATAGATAGATCAGTTATTAATTTCATATACTCACCGGATCTGAATGTCCTGTTATAAAACTTCACATGGCGTTCCCCCCTGATGTCATTTACGTTGAGTTGCAATAAATGCTAAGCTCTCTGCAGGTTCTTGTCTTTGTCGTCCGCACTATTCAGCTGGCTTTGGAAACACATGGTGAGAAGGTGGGGGCTGGGTGGTGAGGGTTACGGGGGCGAGAAACGCAAAAGTAACGCAATAGTTACTTTTACTAGTAACTAGCTACTTTTATTGTGGAGTAACTCAGTTAGTAACTCAGTTACTTTTTGGAAGAAGTAACTAGTAACTATAACTAATTACTTTTTCAAAGTAACGTGCCCAACACTGTTCTTTTCTAGGATGGATTGATTATATAACATACAACTTTAATAGATTTTTTAAAAGTCGAACTGGGAACACAAGATTAAATCTATTGTGGATTTACTCTAATCCATACTGGGTCTTAATTCTACTTATAAAAGTAACTCATGTTTATTTTGTTGTTTTTTCTGTGTGTTTTAAAAATATAGCCTTTTCTGATCAGAGTTAAACATCACATGTTATTCAATTTAAATAGTTGCAACAACTACACAGTAAATTTTGAAGTGGTAAAGTATAACTTTAAGAGTTAAATTCAACACCAAACAGTGTGGATGTGGTCCTACTCTGAATTAATGTTAAATTAACTCTCTACATGTATATCTTACTCCAATTCTTGTAATAACTCTAAAAGAATCCATGTACTTCCACACCACATATTTATCTCTTTGGAATTTACTGTGTATTTTGGTCAAAAAAGTGAATCCACAGAATGTCTTGAGTGATGCAAAAAAATTGTGTATACAGGTGCTGGTCATAAAATTAGAATATCATGAAAAAGTAGATTGATTTCAGTAATTCCATTTAAAAAGTGAAACTTGTATATTATATTCATACATTACATACAAACTCATATATTTCAGATGTTTATTTTGTTTAATTTTGATGATTACAAATGACAACAAATGAAAATCTCAAATTCATCATATCAGAAAATTAGAATATTACTGAAGACCAATAAAAACAAAGGATTTATAGAAATGTTGGCCAACTGAAAAGTATGAACATGAAAAGTATGAGCATGTACAGCACTCAGTATTTAGTTGGGCCTCCTTTGGCCTGTATTACTGCAGCAATGCGGCGTGGCATGGAGTCGATCAGTCTGTGGCACTGCTCAGGTGTTATGATAGCCCAGGTTGCTCTAATAGTGGCTTTTAGCTCTTCTGAATTGTTGGGTCTGGTGTATTGCATCTTCTTCTTCACAATACCCCATAGATTTTCTATGGGGTTAAGGTCAGGAGAGTTTGCTGGCCAATTAAGAACAGGGATACCATGGTCCTTCAACCAGGTACTGGTAGCTTTGGCACTGTGTGCAGGTGCCAAGTCCTGTTGGAAAATGAAATCTGCATCTCCAAAAAGTTGGTCAGCTGCAGGAAGCATGAAGTGCTCTAAAACTTCCTGGTATGTGGCTGCGTTGACCCTGGACCTCAGAAAACACAATGGACCAACACCAGCAGATGACATGGCACCCCAAACCATCACTGACTGTGGAAACTTTACACTGGACTTCAAGCAACGTGGATGAAGTGCCTCTCTTCTTTTCCTCCAGACTCTGGGACCTTGATTTCCAAAGGAAATGCAAAATTTACTTTCATCAGAGAACATTACTTTGGACCACTCACCAGCAGTCCAGTCCTGTTTCTCTTTAGCCCAGGCAAGAGGCTTCTGACGCTGTCTGTGGTTCAAGAGTGGCTTGACACAAGGAATGCGACAGCAGAAACCCATGTCTTTCATACGTCTGTGTGTGGTGGTTCTTGAAGCACTCACTCCAGCTGCAGTCCACTCTTTGTGAATCTCCACCACATTTTTGAAGGGGTTTTGTTTCACAATCCTCTCCAGGGTGCGGTTATCTCTCTTACTTGTACACTTTTTTCGACCACATCTTTTCCTTCCCTTCGCCTCTCTATTAATGTGCTTGGACACTGAGCTCTGTGAACAGCCAGCCTCTTTAGCGATGACCTTTTGTGTCTTGCCCTCCTTGTGCAAGGTGTCGATGGTCGTCTTTTGGACAACTGTCAAGTCAGCAGTCTTCCCCATGATTGTGTAGCCTATAGAACTAGACTGAAAGACCATTTAAAGGCTTTTGCAGGTGGTTTGAGTTAATTAGCTGATTAGAGTGTGGCACCAGGGGCCATCAATTTTGAACCTTTTCACAATATTCTAATTTTCTGATATGATGAATTTGAGATTTTCATTTGTTGTCATTTGTAATCATCAAAATTAAACAAAATAAACATCTGAAATATATGAGTTTGTATGTAATGTATGAATATAATATACAAGTTTCACTTTTTAAATGGAATTACTGAAATCAATCTACTTTTTCATGATATTCTAATTTTATGACCAGCACCTGTAAATGAGTATGAATATATTTTGACCAGAGGTGGAAAGTAACAAAATACATTTACTCAAGTTACTGTATTGAGTAGGTTTTTTGTGTATTTTGTATTTTACAAGTAGTTTTTAAAATCGGTAATTTAAATTTTACTTGATTACGTTTTGAGTGAAGTATTGTATTTCGTTACATTACAAATCCCATCCGTTACTGAGTAAAAAAAAAACTTTGGAAAACCGAAAGGAGGTCAAAAAATCGGGCCCGGAAGCACTACAGCGAGTGACGTGATCAGCAGGTAAATCTAGGCTACCAGGCGCCAAGTCTTTCTGTAGGAGATTGGGAACGAGATGAAGGTGGATCAGGATCATGTCATGTGTGACATGTGTTATCTTGTCATTACATGTGTATACATTTGTATAGATTTTTCTTTAATTAAAAACGAAATAGTTTTGGATTCATGACTCCTTGTCCTATTTTCACTACATGGGAGAGATCCCCTGCCCCGTTCAACTGGTTTTTTTTTTTATGTAACTAAGTAACTTTTACTTAAAATACATTTTAAATTAGCTACTTATTACTTTTACTTGAGTAATTTTTCTGATGGGTAATTTTACTTGTACTTGAGTATTTCATCCAAGTATTGGTACTTTTACTTGAATATGATATTTTAGTACGGTACTTTTTTAGTACTTTTTCCACCTCTGATTTTGAAAAGTACAAAATATATACATTTACAACCCAATGAGCCATTTTTGACCTCAGCCCAGCTTATTAAAACTCAGGTGATAGTAGGAATTTTGTATATTTAAAAAAAGGTATATTTTAAAATTATTCACTGTAAAAAATATCTTGCCATTTTTAAGAGAACCAATACAATATTCCTATATTTAGGTTATAAACTAAAAACATGAAACCTTTGAAAAAAGGGGGAAAAAAGCCCAGAGTTCCCAACCCAACTGCAAAAAAAAATAAAATAAAAAATAGATTAAAGAATAGTGTAACTGCTTTTTTTAGTGGTATTCTGTTGTGGGAATATTATGATATTATTCTAGGAGGAAACGGATAAACGGCTAAATCCTACTATGGTATTATGGATGAAAATATTGTTCGGCCTGTTTTTATTTTTAGCCATTTCAGTCTGACCAGTATATTTTTAAGCATCTATACATACATATGTATATTGTTGTATATGAAAAAAAAATCCTTGATGATGGCTGTGGCAAGAAATTAAATTTTTTGCAGATTTCTAAAGATATTTTTCATTTTATTAGAAAAGGTTTAAGTTGTTTATCGATGTTATTCTCCCTATTCCTCTTTCTGCCAATGTAAAGCAGTACTTTATTTCTATCCTTCTTTGTCTTTATTCTTTTCTCCTCCTCTCCCCTTGATATGTGTATGAAATAGAGCATTATAGCAAAAGCTACATTAAATTTAACAAAATTATTTTATGTTTATTTTTAAACTTTACGGATTAGGGAAACTGAAGCCTAGAAAAAATATTTATCCATCAACAAAAACTGCCCATAAAGAGAGAGCATGTTTGACAAAAAAAAGGAGGAAGAATCAAGGACTCCATCAGATATGTGATGTGAAAAAAGAAAATGTTGAAATATATTTTATGATTATGTTTTTTTGTGTTATGATTCAGGAGGATATGATCATAGAAACATGAACACTCAAAAAGTGATTCACTGCAAGGAGGAAACTGATTTCTGGAACAGGGATGAGAAAGAATGATCAGCGCATGACCTGTTGCTTAGTTATGGGATATTTGTCAGCTGTTAAGAGCAGCAACTTCAAACGATATATGAAGGCGTTGATAAATAATCCTGTCTTCCGCTACTGTACTACATGAGTTACAGGAAAAGTGATCATATGTTCATTTTTTCTTCAGTGATTCATTTAACAAGTAATGATCAGAGGTCCTGGGACACTTTATATCGATTGTTCCATGAAAGGATTTGTTCAATCTGTTTGGTTAGTTTGCATTTGTTTTGTTTCTCCAGGTGACTTTTATGAAGAGAAAGTTTGGTCTGATGAAGAAAGCCTACGAGCTGAGTGTTCTCTGCGACTGTGAAATCGCCCTCATCATCTTCAACAGCTCCAACAAGCTGTTTCAGTACGCCAGCACCGACATGGACAAAGTCCTGCTGAAGTACACGGAGTACAACGAACCCCACGAAAGCAGAACCAACTCTGACATTGTAGAGGTAGGTGATGCTGACTCCTGGGCAGTGTTGGGAAAGTTCTCTTTCTATGTGAACTAGTTCAAAGTTCAGTTCACACATTTTAAAATGAACTAGTTCAGTTCATAATTCATAATTCAAAATTTGAACTAAGTTCACAGTTCCAAAAAATGAACTAGTTCATAGTTCTTTTTTCATGTATTGCTCAATTACACCATAGCCTACTGTAGAACCACAGACAGCAATTATTTTATCAGTTGTAACTCTAAAACTGTGCGTCAGATTTCATCTTCATATTCAGTTTTGAATCCTTATCCAACCAGGGTTTACATTAGCATTGAGGGAGCAGCATTTCCCCATTGTTGCTTTAATGCTTTGTTGCTGTCCATTCACTTCACACTAGTAGCAGCTGCAGCTTTCACCCCTACAGTATATTCTCAAAAACATCAGGAAAAATGTGCTGCTAGAATGGTCTTTTTTATGAGGAATTATTAAAAGAAAAACAGGAAAGTAGTTTTTAAGGTGCAAATGTTTTTTTAATTTTAGTAACTTTTTCAATTTGAAATTCCATTTCTGTACATACTAAAAAGGAATACTGGAATCCTGGAAAATTATACCAGGCAGGTTTAACAAGTTACATGAATACTAAAACCCTCAAGAACATTTTACTAACACAAACTGAGGGACCAGGCTGAGGTAGGAATTTAAGGTTACTGAAGTGCGAATTTTTTTACTGAAAGCCGGCGGGCAAAGTTTGCAGAGAAATGTAAGATTGTTGCCATCATCCTCACCGACCACCTGGTCATAAAACTGTTTTAAGTGATCATACTGCTGCTTTGTCGCCTCCACGGTCGCCTCCATGCTGCTGTGGCTCCCACTATGCATTTTGTTTTGATGACGCACGCGGCTGTAGGCTACTGGTAGCTGGTGTTGCCAGATTGGGTGTTTTTCCCGCTACATATTAAGGCCTGTTTACGGTGTGATTTAGCCGGGGTTTTGCCTGGAGGGCTCTATAGAAATTTGGCAACCTATTGAACGGAGTTGAACTGAGAGAGCGTGCCGTTCACAGACACCAGAATGAACGAGTTCACAATAACGTTCATCAGGCAGTAATGCAGTACGTTCAGTTCACGTTCGCCCAAAATATGAACGAGTTCATGAACTTACGTTCAATGAATGCGTTCAGGCACAACACTGCTCCTGGGATTAGTGTCTCCTTTGTACTGGAAAAACAATCTAGAAATAAGTAAAAATTTCTTAAATTAAGTGTATTTACCCTTAATTTGAGAAGGTAAATGAGATAGTTTGCCAATGGAATGAGTATTTTTATCCTTAAAATAAGATAATTAGATAATATGAACTTGAAATAAGACATTGTAATCGTGTTTTCTCATTTTAAGTGTAAATTGTCTTGTTCCATTGGAAAAGTGTCTCACTTATCTCCTCAATCCAAGAACAAATGCACTTATTTTAGGAAAAAATTACTTATCTAGACTTTGATTTTTTCCAGTGTGGAGGTCTGTTTACTGAGAAGACATTAGTTAGATTAAACGCCTGCAGCGGAAACAGTATGCAAATATGCATCATTTTCCACACAGCTTGTTTTGCATCAGTATTCCTGAAATGTTGGCACAGTTATGGAGTAATAGTTGGTACTTTTTGTTTTATACTTCCAATAAAGAGTGAAAGGATCTGCCTTCTGCTGGACAGACGTATTCTTCATCCAAGAATAGGGAAGGAAGTGACAGCATGATGCATTTTAGAAAGGGGAATTTCTTGATAAACTAAGCGTGGAGTACATTTTTAGGAGTTCTTGCCTAAGTCTTTTTCTCTATAAATTATAAGGAAGTGAAATGCACATAATTGAAAATGCAGTGCATACATTCCTACAGGGCAAAGATGAAGATATGAATAACTGTTAGGGGAGTTAGTTTCATTTCCTAAATTCTGCCCATTTGATCAGATATTGTTATGTCCCCTTTTAGTCCCTAAAGATGCTCTCATTCTCATCTAAATATATTACCATGTATGATAAAAAACACATTTATTTCCCCATAAATTTGTGGGATAAGAGGTGAAAAAAGTCAGACTGTTCTAGATGTTGTATATTACCATCTTTTTATTTTATTTTCTATATTTAATGAGTGAAAAATAAAAGTTAAATGATCCAGCCTATGATGAAAGAGCGGGATAGGTGGCCAAATAGTGGTCCACCTACTGAATGACTAAGAAAGTAGGTGCTTCAAACATTTAGTGCAGGTGTGTATTAGTTTAGATGGTTTCTCAGAGTTGTCATCGGTTGGAAATTATTGTTTCCAAAAATTAGACTAAGCTTGTAATGAAATTGCTCATGCTGCAGCATCAGAGTGGATGATAGAGCACTAATGATCGTAGGCAGCTTATCTTCCTGTTCACTGTAAGGTTGATATGCAACTGAGTGATAAAAGTATATAGTGATGTTGTGGTTGTCTCTAATAAGGTTGCAAATCCTCTGTGTGATTCTAGATAAATATAAAAGACATTTTAAGGCTTTAACATACGTCTACTGTGCCCATAAATATGAACCATTTGAGTCTCATAGACACTTACAGCAAAGACCAAAGTTTCTTTTATGCCTCTGGCAGATTTAGGTTTCATCTTTTTAATACAGAAAAGGAAGAAAGAGCTAAAGATGAAGGAGATGGTAGACAGGACTGCCAAACCAACACATTCTCACACTTTAACCCTTTAAAGCCCGATCCAAGAATAAAACATAACAGAAAATAACTTTTTTTTGGTTTGAAGTCCTTATTTGGCCTTTTAACAAAATATGTAAAAAGAAAAAAAAAATACATTTTTGATATTAATAATTTATTACTATGCGATAAGTCAAGATTCTTTTTTGTGTAGTCTTCTGCTCTCTGTTATCAGGTATATCTGATTGTGTACAATATGATTTTAAGCAAAGTTTTTACCATTAAATTATGCAAAAGGTGTCAGACGCAAAACATTTCAGAAACCGTATGTATCAAATATGATACATTTGGCATTACAGGGTTAAATAATGAAAATTGGTCAAAGCCCCCTATGCATCGGTATGAGGGATTTGCCCAAACTACTCAGAAAACCACTGAACATTTTCAAAAAAGGACAATTCATAAAAATAAAAAAAAAAGTGGGGCCCAAATAAAGACAAAGAACTCAAGCACAAACTGACCTATCAAACAAGACATGAGGGAAACTTAAATAGTGGCTGATCAAATCACTGTTGACTGACAAACTAAAACAAATAAACTTAATTAAACAGAGAAATAATGGCCAGACACTAACTCAAAGAAAATCAATTGTCATGGACCGAGGACAGAGGGACCCAGTATTCAAGGAGAGACAGTCAGTAGGAAAGTTCAAAACATTTATTAATAAACAAAACAAAAACTAAAGTGGAGCTTTGGCTCGCGGACACTGCAGGAGGGAGGCGGGGCACCGCCCAATCACAGACACTCTGCATGAGAAACACAGGTAAGTGACCACGATCATCTGACAGAAGATGATTATCTGAGTTGGTCACTTACCTGGTTTAACAGTCCAGTCCTAGAATGTCCCCAAGTGCTGCAGTCCCAGAGGACATGCTGGAAGCCGATCCTGGTCAGGGATCCAGAACAGACAGGAACAGAAACAGGTGGCAGGATCAGACTTCCAGGTATCCACAGGCTCCCAGGAGGATTCAGAGTCTGACTGGGACCAGAAGCATGACCAGGCGGTCACGCACAGGAGCAGACAGGATCAGGTGCAGATGAGCAGGCTCAGTGGAAGAGGGTAGCCGAGACAGGACGTGGAACCAGAACTTGATGCACAACCTTTAAACTGGTCTCCACCTTGGAGCCAGGCTTACTTGGATAAAAACTGAACCTCCCCACATATAGAGCCAAAAACCCAGAGGACTCAGCAAGGGAGGAACAGTGGACGATCAGGAGACGAGACAAACACAAAAACCCTCTTTCCACTGGCCAGGACATGAACCAAGAAAATAAACTGAACAGACAGACTAACAGAAAAACAGTGAATGATCTGGCATTGAATGCTCAGGCTGAAATGAATATAACCCAGAGGAAACAGGTGAGAGGAATAAATTATAATTGAGGCAGGGAGGGAAAACCACAGGTGAAAGAAATTACTAATTAAGGAGGAGCAAACAGGCCAGATCATGACATCAATTGCATTTTAACCAAAGTATAACAAACTGACAAATAAAGTTAACTAAATGTGTGCGCTGCAAATAGCTAACTAAATGTCAGGCTAATGAGAATATTTGAAATGTGTGACTCATTTTGAAAATAAAAAAAAAATAAAAGTTACCACACAGCTTTAGAGTGTGACAGCAGACTATCACAGTCAGTATATGATACATCTCATCATATATTGATGGAAGGGTAAATTACAGTTTGTGGACACTGCACCGCATGACACACGAATTGAAAAATATATATTTTAGTCCACAAACCTATTTTTGGTAGCTGTATGAGTCCATGTTAACATGTATACAAGTGTTTCTTTAGGTTTAGGGTAAGGGATTGGATAGTGCTCCTTTTTTGCTTTTATAGTTTAAGGAAAAGTTTTGCAGGTTCCTTCCACGGCCTTACGTGGACCTAACCTGACTCCGCCAGATGGATTTGCTCCGCATATCCATCTGGAAACCTTCCGTTGAAGTAATTTTGGGAAGGGGCGAAAATACTGGTTAGCTGATTGGCCTATGTTGGTGATAGACGGGCCAAATAAACCAATCAGACCAACGAAGCATATGACGTACTAACAGAGCGACGACGAAGAGGAGCCAATTGATAGATCAAACTATTGCCGAAACCAGTCGGTAGAAGAGCAAAAACATCTTTTCCTCTGAGAAAAGCCTCCAGAGCAGTGTTTTGCTCTTCTTTCAGTGAAGAAATACTCTGTAATTGCAATAAAACTTGCTCGATAGCCACGCTAACGCTAGTTTCATCGGCTGAAGCCGCCATGTTCTTTAGACTGAACTGTCGCGCTTCTCGTTG